TTATATCAGCTGCCAGTAGTAACTGTAGCAGAATTAATATTGTCATCAACTAATCTGTTTGTCCAGCGAACATTCATTGTAATTTCATATAAATTCTAAGAAAGGATATTTTCGTGGCCACAGAAAATAACTTTCTTATAGTACTAATGCATTAGAGCATGTAGCTATAGATCAGATCGTAAAAGGGACACTAATCACAGAACCAGAAACTCATGTAATTTGTGCACAAAAGTTGTATTAACTAGACACTAACACAAACTAGTCTAAACAAACAAATAAACATACAATCACTCATTCATGGGGGAGTTGAAGTGGATGAAAGAAACCAGAGAATGCAGTTATGGAAAATGAGTCAGAACAACCTGAGTTAAAAACCATCAGTGCCGTTTTACAACGGGGTCTGCAGCTTATACTAAACCTCTGTTTCGTTTAGTTAAATGTACGATACTTGCATTGCCTTGGTCGTTGAACGAGTGTCCGGATGCAGTCTCAGATGAAAGTTTTGATGGTTTGAAGGTTTGGTGGTGTTGGAGTTCTTCACGTTCTTCCAGGTTTGAAGGGTGATGAACTCCAATAGATGGTATTCTGGCTCGGTGGTGATTGGGAGAGTTTTCTCCCAGATGAAGGTGATGAGAGAAGAGCGCAGAGCTCGAGAGAGACGACAGCTGGAATCCGAGGATTTTAGGTGAATGAAAACTTTGGGGTCCAGAAGAAAACTTCTAGCTCTAGAATCTAACAGAACTTTAGACTGAGCTGTGTCGAGGCCTGCCAGGCCTCTGGGACTTAGCAACCAGAAGATGTGAAGGTGATGAGAGACGAGTGAAGAGACTAAAAGCCAGGCGGTTCACTAAAGTGAGGCCTTTTAAGTTCTGTGGAGGTCACACCTCTCGAGTGTCAAAGAGCCAATGGTCTAACTGAAATGAGCCAACTTGCACTTTTTGAAGGGAAAGTTTACGACTCTTTGTCTCCGAACATGGTAATTTGCATATGTAACTGGATTGGATGTTGATGCAAAGACTACTAAAGATTCTTAGAACACTAATATGTTGCATAAGTATCAACATATAATATAAACTCTCAATTAGATCATCCGAAGACGAATTTATAGAGACCAAACATGGTATAAGTAAGGTTACGTGAACGAGTGGTTCTATCATAAGCATGCATCAAACAGTATACAATATATAAGACAATATTCAAGGGTATACACAGTATACACAATGACCTGAGGATATGTGTGTTCATTCACAGAAAGGTTTTTCTATGAATTAGAGTCCATTTAGTCCATTTCTACTGTGCATTGTGTCTCTTCCTATAAAAAGGTAGTGATTTTCCCTACTCACATTCCTGTGGGTCATAAAACCAGTGATATCAGCATTAGTTGCCATGGGGACCAGGGGGGGCCTGGTGCCGTTGCAGACATCCTGGGGTGTTACGCATTTCGGGGGAAAGGTCCATAGGTCCTCATATGGCTTGTTAACTGAGGGGTGTTACAGAGTATTTGTTAAATATAGCTAACAAAATATATATTGTGTGTTTTATTGGGCCAGCC